GCCCGCGGGGCTGGCGGCGGGGCGGCTCGGGGCCGTGTGGGCGGGGCCGCGGGCCCCTCAGACCCTCAGGTTCGCAGGAGCTGTGCAAAAGTGGGCCCAAACCGCAATGCGCTGAATTCGGCCGCTCCTGACGAGTATGTACCTCTTCCTTGCTCAGGGTCCCATGGATCGAAGGTCTCTCAGTCCTTGGTGCGGCAGGGTGGCTCCTTTCTCATTTTTCACTGTGGGAAAATGTACCTAAAATTTCCCACTTGGACCCTCGTTGGGTGCGCACGTCGGTGGCGTTCACTCCGTGCAGAACGTTGTACAACCATCACCACCGTCCGTCTCCTGGACTTCCTTGTCCTCCCAGATAGAAACGCTGTGCCCGTTAAACACCGACTCCCCGCTGCCCCCGCCCCGCAGGCCCTGGCGACCACCACTCTGCTTTCTGTCCACAATTTTGACGACCCTAGGAGCTTCCTGTGAGCGCAGCCACCCGGTGTCTGTCTTTTGGCGACTGGCTTGTTTCACTTAGCGTTGAATCTTCAAGCTTCCTCCCCGTTGTGGCCTGTGACACAATGTCCTTCCTTTCCAAGGCCGAATGGTGTTTCGTTTGACGTGTGTGCCACCCTGCGTGCCCGCTGATCTGTCGTGGACACTCGTGTTGCTTCCAGCTTTTGGCTCTCGTGAATGCTGCTGCTGCAGACGCGCGTGTGCAACCATCTGTGGGGGTCTCTGCCTTCCACTCTTTGGAGCATATGTGTAGAAGCGGTGCTGTCGAGAATTGTATGCTGATTCTGCTTTTCTGAGGAACTGCCCTCCCGTTTTCAGGGTGGCTCGTTTTTAGTGTGCATTTCTTTGTTTTTTTTTTTTAAGATTTTGTTTATTTATTTATTTTCCCCCCAAAGCCCCAGTAGATAGTTGTACGTCATAGCTGCACATCCTTCTAGTTGCTGTATGTGGGATGCGGTCTCAGCATGGCTGGAGAAGTGGTGCGTTGGTGCGCGCCCGGGATCTGAACCCCCGGCCGCCAGCAGCGGAGTGCGGGCACCTAACCGCTAAGCCATGGGGCCAGCCCTAGTGTGCATTTCTGATTTGAACTCATCAGCTTGGTGTTATGCCTGAAGGAGGAAGGGGTGATGGGGGCAGGCCCAGTCTTCCTGAGTCCGTAGACATCTCATTCCTTGTGCGCAGCCCTAAAACATTTTTTTTTTTTAAGATTTTATTTATTTATTTTCCCCCCAAAGCCCCAGTAGATAGTTGTATGTCACAGCTGCACATCCTTCTAGTTGCTGTAGGTGGGAGGCGGCCTCAGCGTGGCCGGAGGAGCGGTGCCTCGGTGCGCGCCGGGGATCCGAACCCGGGCCGCCAGCAGCGGAGCGCGCGCACTCAACCGCTAAGCCCACGGGGCTGGCCCCTAAAACCTTTTCCTTGGAAGTTTGCCCCCTCTTTTGGCTGTTCCCCGGTTTCATGAAGGGGTCTGGGAAGTGCGTCTGGCACCCTGCGTATTAGAGTTCCTCTCCCCTGGGTGCTGGAGAGGTGGTGGGTGGAGAGGGGCAGCTGTGTCTGGGCCCCTGTTGGCCAGGTGCGTGTCACCAGTTGGTACTCAGCCAGGCATGAAGCCATTGCAGCAGATCTTCTCTTTGGCCCCAAGCCGGGAGTTTGACAGGGAACCCTGCTGAGGCTTCTGGATTTATGCATTTGGACATTGACATTAGTAGTATACAAATATGTTTAAAATAGGACAACTGATAATGATTTTAGTCAAAATTTTGGACTCTTTGTCTAGGACCATGAGTCCGTGCCTAATGGTTAAATCTAGCAGCTGGCAAGAGCCTTTTTTCGTTAATGAGTAAGAAAGGGGCTTGTACAGACGGTTTCGGAAAAGTGAAGGGAGTTCTGTTGGTCTTTATAGAATCCCAGTGATTGAATGGGTTTCAGTTTTAGGATTCATCTCGTCTGATCTCCCACCCAGTGCTAGTGTATTTATAGATCTCGTGTAGGTATCACATCTTTGCAGGAATATTGCTGGTGTCAAGGAGCTGCCTGACCTGTCCTGTTACTGAAGAGCCCTGATTATTATGAAACTTTCTTTGAAATGGCACTCAAACAAGCCTCTTGCTCATTAATCTTAGTTCTTTGGAGCAACATAGGCCAGTTCTGCACCCTTTTCTACATTCTTTGGATATTTGAAAAGCTATTTTGTAGGACACAAAGTGTGGACAAAAAGCTAGGCAGTTTTAACAAATCTCAACTCATGGAGCAGAGTGGCTACTGTAGCTCTCCTTGTGGCTTTAGTGGCTTCCCATTGCTCTCAGGCTCAAGTCCTACAAGCCCCTGCCGGCCTGGCCTTTGCCTACTTCTTCAGCTGCAGCTCAAAGTACTCTCCCTTTGCTCATTGTAGTTCGGTCACACTGCTGTTTTCGTCCTTTCCTTTCACTACTTCTCACTGTCTGGGAGCTCAACCGTTCTTCCCCCCTTTTCCTAGTTTTTAAAAATTCTTGTTATTACTATAACAACTTTATTGAGGTATTCACGTACCATATAATTCATCTACTTAAAGTATTCAATTTTAGAACATTGTTGTCACTCCCTAGAGAAACCCCATATTCATTAGCAGTTACTCTCCATTCTTCCCTCTTTCTATTCCCTGGAAATCACCAATCTACTTCCTATCTCTATAGATTTGCCTGTTCTGGACATTTCGTATACATGGAATCAGACAATATGTGGTCTATGATGGGCTTCTTTCACTTAGCATAATGTTTTCAAGGCTCATCCATGTTGTAGCATGTGTCAATACTTCATTCCTTTTTATGACTGGATAATATTCCACTGTGTGGGTATACCACATTTTATTTACCTGTTTATCAGTTGGTGGACATTTGGGTTGTTTCCACTTTTTGGATCTTATGAATAATGCTGCTGTGAACATCCATGTACAAGTTTTTGTGTGGACATATGTTTTCAATACTCTTGGGTATATACCTTAGGAGTGGGATTACTAGGTCATATAGTAACTCTATGTTTCACCATTTGAGGAACTGTCAGACTATTTTCCAAAAGTGGCTGCACCATTTGGCATTTGTACAAGCAGTATAGGAGGATTCCAATTTCTCTGCATCCTAATCAGTACTTGTTATTGTTCATGTTTTTTTTTTTTTTGCTTAGGAAGGTTAGCCCTGAGCTAACATCTATTGCCAATCTTCCTCTTTTTTTTTTTTTCCTTAGGAAGATTAGCCCTGAGCTAACATCTGTGCCAATCTTCCTCTATTTTGTATATGGGTCATCACCACAGCATCGCTGACGAGTGGTGTAGGGGTCTGACCTGGGCTGCCAGAGCGGAGCATGCTGAACTTAACCACTGTGCCATGGGGCTGGCCCCTATTGTCCATCTTTTTAATTATAACGGTTCTAGTGGGTGTGAGGTGGTATCTCATTGTGGTTTCTATTTGTATCTCCCTGATGACTAATGATGTTGAATATCTTTTCAACTTATTGTCCATTTATATATCTTCTTTGGAAAAATGTCTATTCAGATGCTTTGCCCATTTTTTTTTTTAAATAATTTTATTTATTTATTTATTTTCCCCCGAAAGCCCCAGTAGATAGTTGTAGGTCATAGCTGCATATCCTCCTAGTTGCTGTATGTGGGAAACGGCCTCAGCATGGCTGGAGAAGCAGTGCGTCACTGCGTGCCTGGGATCCGAACCTGGGCCGCCAGCAGCGGAGCGCACGCACTTAACTGCTAAGCCACAGGGCCGGCCCGCTTTGCCCATTTTTTAATTGGGTCATTTGTTTTTTTATAATTGTGTATCTCTTAGTTAACTCTCAATCATTTTTCAGTCTCAGGCAAGGCATCCTTTTCTCAAGGAAGCTTTCCTGAGTTTCACTTTGTGATTAGCTTGATTATTTATTTCTCTTTCTCTCTGCTAGTCTGTAAGATTTATGAGACTAGACCATTGTGTCTGTTGTGTCTGGCACCAAATAGGAACTCAGTAAATATCTATTGAATGAATGAATAGAGCTTTCTCCCTTTAAAGACTTTCAATATAGTAACCACACTATGTGGAAGTAGCTGCAAGTCCACGCAGTAATCCTAGTGGCTTTTCCTGCCCTTATGTCTCCGTCTTGTCCACACTATATCATTAAAGACATTGCTAAATGCCATAAAAATCAAAATACAATATAACGTAGAAGTTGGAAAGAAATGGGCGTGGGGAGGTTGAAGTCAACAAGGACAGCAGAATGGCTGTTCAAGAGACTTTACCTAATGGTGTGCAGGACGTTTCCCTTCACCTGGGGTCCAATCCTCAAGTTTATGGGTTCAGGAACTTGATTTAATTGGTATCCTGATTGTGGATTGGTCTCTCAGGGACGTATTCAGTAGTAGAACTGATAACAGCTACTCTTAATGAATTGAACATTCTAAATCCCTGGTCATGTGCTAAGCTCTTTCTGTATTTCAGCTCATTTAACACAACAAATCTTTGATGTAGTTATTACTGTCTCCATTTTTACAGGTAAGGAAACAGATTGAGAGATTAAAAGAAAGTTATAGTCCAAAATTATAGCTCAGAGTTATAAAGTAAATGAGATTTGAATCCAGTACTGATTGCAAAGTCTGTTCTCTTTTTCTTTATCGTATTCTAAATTTACAAGAGACTGAAT